CTTCTCATTTATCATGGGAAGACTTTTTCAGAGAAAAAAACCACAGCCTCTCAGGGAGACCCTTGGCAGAATCTAGGCAATTGAGGTGAATGGCTGGGCTGAAATGTCCCCTCTGCCTCTTCCAGCCTGTGACACATGCTGTGACCTCTCTGTGCTTCAGAGACCTGAAGTATACAGTGAAAACAGCAATACTCTAATGGGGAAAACCATTTTCCTGTCTCCGAAACGTGTGTGCCTTTCCATCAGGACCCTCTCCACCTGACCAGCCACATCCACCCCTGCTCTGTGCCTTTAGAAGCCTAGCACTGGCTTTGGTCCAGTCCCTTATTGCTTTCACCACACTCTGGTCCACATCTGCACATTCTCACTTGCTCCCTCGTACTTCAGGAGCGTTTGTCTTGCTGACGCCCAAACCTGTCCAGACCCTGTAAATTCTCGGCATCCGAGCTCAGTCTGGGAGAAAGAAATCACGATTTCCACTTGCACTGTGTTTGGTCTGCTTCTTAAGGCTTTCCAAGCTCCCCCCTCAGCTCTAGCCCTTTCAATCCAGCCACTGTAGATCCCCCTCTTATAGTTTCTACAGATTTTTAATATTTTAAATTTTGAATTAATTTTTTCCATTTTTTTTTGAGACAGGGTTTCTCTGTGTAGCCCTGGCTGTCCTGGAACTCCCTCTGTACATCAGGCTGGCCTCAAATTCAGAGACCTGCCTGCCTCTGCCTCCTGAGTTCAGGGATTAAAGGTGTGTGCCACCACGCCCAGCCTCTGTACTGATTTTCTAAAAATACATCATTCCCCCTTTCCCTGTATTCTCTCAGAACCTCCCAGATCTGCCTCCTTGCTCTTTTTCAAATTCATGGCCTGTTTTCATTAATTGTGGCTATATGCATATATGTTGCTATATATATATATATACACACACACACATATATATTTCTAAACTTTAAAATTGTGTGTGTGGGCAACTGTATTACTTACGAATTCCATTTCAGGAGAGTAAGCAGGCATTGAAATATATTTGCCATAGAAAAACACATCTACCACTACTCTGGAGCTCACCCCAATTCCAAGGGGCAGTCTGGGCTATACAATGAGACTCCTCAATAGACAAAAGACAATGGTGATTAGAGCCTCTGAGGCTGAATAACATTGGTTTCCAATGAGTAAAACTGAACAGCTGATGTGAAAGTTTAAATATGGCTTTGGGCAGCAGGAGCTTTCCTGATGGCATGGGAAATTTGAGAGCAACGCTCAGCACAAGTGAGGAGACAGGTTCTTTCTCTGGGCTTAGCAGAAGCCCTTGCAATATTGATTCTCAGAGTAGGAGCCTGATCATTTTCTCCATCTCAAAGTAGAAGCAGGTCTGAGACTGGTAGCAGCACCACCCACACTCTGTGGGATGACGGTCACATCTTGTATACATGTCCCTGCCCTGAAGTGTTGCATTCCCACCCTGCCAGACTGAGATGGGGATAGGGAATTAAAAGCCACACCCAGCAGGGATGGAAACACTCCCTGTGCCTTTTCTTGACCCCTTCCAAAGTCCTAGGTTTGTGTTACTAGCGTGTGCTTTGGGGCCCACAGGTAAGGGTGTGGCAGATAGGCTGCCAGACCCAGAAGCTGGAGGAGGCTCTAAAGGAGCACAAGTCTTCTGTGTCCTGTATCAGGGTGAAGAAGAACAATGAGGAGTGTGTCACTGCCAGCACCGATGGGACATGCATCATTTGGGACCTTGTGTAGGTACCTGGGATGGATAGGGAGGCTAACACAACACTTAATAAAGGCCAAACATGCCAGCAGTCTACTGAACACAGCCAAGATCCCAAAGAGGGGTGTATTAGTTTACTTTCTCGTTGTCGTGGCAAAATATTTAACAAAAGCAACTCAAGGAGTTGTGAAGTACAGGGCTTCTTTTGACTCATAGTGTGAGAATACAGTCCATGATGGTAGGGAGGCATGGCAGCAGGGTGTGAGGTGGCTGCTCATACATACTGTGTTTGAAATGCATGTGGTATCTCCCTTAAAGTTTTTTTTTTGGGGGGGTGTATTTTTATTTTACCTGTATAGATGTCTTGACTACAAGTATGTCTGTGTACCACATACATGCCTGGTGCCTGCAGACACAAGAAGAGGGCATCAGATCCCCTGCAGGTGGAGTTACATGCAGTTGTGAGCCACCATGTGGGTGCTAGGATTTGAACCCTGGTCCCCTGGTTCTCTGGAAGAGCAGCCAGTGCTGTTAACCATTGAGTCATAGCTCCAGTTCCTAGCTCCCCATTTTAGGTAGTTCAGGATCCCAGTTCATGGAATCGTGCATCCAAGGTGGGTCCTTCCTTCTCAGTTGACATTCTTTGGAAACATTCTCAGACAAGCCCAAATGTGTATCTCCTAAGGGTTTCTAAATCCAGTCAAGTCAACGATCAAGATTAGCCATCACTAGTAAAAGGTTCTTAGAAGGCCTTGGGCTCCCTGGCTGTCCAAGGGTTATAGATGCCAGTGGGGAACATATGGTCTCCATGAAGAACTCAGCAGTTTCTGGGCAGAAAGGGCAGTAGTTTTCCAGATGCCTGCAGTAAAGTGTGATGTAATGTGAATCCATCCAACTTAAATGTTGCACATTAACAAGGAAAGTTACAGGGCAGGTAACTTCATGTCATCTTACTAGGTCATGAGCCTGCCCTGGGAGGGACAGGCTTCCCCTCATTTGGCCACATTCCAGGGACTGCTTACACTATGAGTAAATCACAGAGATATCCATAGAAGATGGCAATGCCAAACTATAGAGGCCAAAAACATGTGAACTTCATCATAGGAGCATTCAGAGAATTTCCAAAGGTGTTTTTTATTTATTTATTTTTTTGGCTTTGGAATTTTTTGGAATTTCTGTTCTTTTTATTTTGGAAGCAAACCTTCGACCCATCCCCACCTCGACCTCAATCTTCCTTCAACCTACACCTTTCTATCACTCCTGGGATGCATAGCCCTTGCATAAATTGTCTAAAGAGGTAGAAATAAGTACAGAGGGACAAAGGAGGTATAGTTGGTCAAAGATTATGTCCTTCCTTTTTTTGAGATGGGGTACCATTGTGATGTCCAGGTTGGTCTTGAATTCTTGGACTCAAGAGATCCTTCCATGTCAGCCTCTCAAATGGCTGTGGGTAAAGGTCACCATGCCCACCTGAAATGTCCCTGCCTAGAAAGAAGGGAGTGAGGACTGAAGGCAAAGCAGGACAAATAATATACTAAAAAGCTAAAAGCAGGGCTGTGT